CTTGCAATAAATCTCTTCATATTAAGTATCCTACTGGCTCTGTTTCTCTGGTAGAACTCTGACTGATACAGTCAGCTACATAGAGAAAATAACATTTGGGCAAAGACTTGCAGTTAAGCATGGTGTGTACAAGGAACAGCAAAAAGGCCAGGGTGGCTGAATAAGAGTGAGCAAGGGGAGAGACGTAGGAGAGGAGATTATTCTATTAACCATAAGAAGCAGCAGAGAAAGTACAGGCTGTGAGTTGAAAGGTCTTCTTTAGCATCCTTTCTCTCATAAGCCAAGCCCACATCATGACAAAAAATGATGCTACCATCATCCAAATATCTCTCCTTCTCTAAAATGGTACAAATGAATGTTCCCCATCTCCACTGTTGACAAAAGCTTCTGGTTACTACAAGGAGATCTTTTGTAGCTAACTCATTGTACATTACTGCATATATTCAGAACATTATTTGTGAGCTGAATCATGTTGGTAGTGTCTCCACTAGGGGGTATGGAACTCTGGAGCCAGGCTAGAACATGGATCCAAAATCACCCAAACGTGGATCAAGGACTGACGAGCCATCTACAGTCAATGGGACAGTTTACCTGTTTTCCTTGGGTAAGACGGTAGTTTGGAGTCAAGAAGATTTAATGCTTCTAACTGGTCCCGCCCAGATGTAGTTGAAAAAATAAAGACCAGGATTCCAGATCCAAGATGGCCGAATAGGAGCATCTCCAGTCTGCAGCTCCCAGCGTGATCAACACAGAAGACAAGTGTTTTCTGCATTTCCAACTGAGGTACCTGGTTCATCTCATTGGGACTAGTTGGACAGTGGGTGCAGCCCACAGAGGGCGAGTCAAAGCAGGGAGGGGCATCGCCTCACCCATAAAGCACAAGGGGTCAGGGGATTTCCCTTTCCTAGCCAAGGGAAGCCATGACAGAGGGCACCTAGAAAAACAGGGCACTCTCAGACAAATACTGTGCTTTTCCAATGGTCTTAGAAAATGGCACACCAGGAGATTATATCACATGCCTGGCTCCACCGATCCCAAGCCCACGGAGCCTTGCTTACTGCTAGTACAGCAGTCTGAGCTCCACCTGTGAGACAGCAGCCTGGCAGGGGGAGGGGCGTCTGCCATTACTGAGGCTTCAGTAGGTAAACAAAGCAGCCAGGGAAGCTCAAACCGAAGGAGATAGAGATACAAAAACCCTTCAAAAAATCAGTGAATTCAGGAGCTGATTTTTTGAAAAGGTCAACAAAATCGATAGACTGCTAGCAAGACTAATAAAGAAGAAAAAAGAGAAGAAGCAAACAGACACAATAAAAAATGATAAAGGGGATATCACCACTGATCCCACAGAAATACAAACTACCATCAGAGAATACTATAAACACCTCTATGCAAATAAACTAGAAAATCTAGAAGAAATGGATAAATTCCTGGACATATACACCCTTCCAAGACTAAACCAGGAAGAAGTGGAATCTCTGAATACACCAATAACAGGCTCTGAAATCGAGGCAATAATTAATAGCCTCCCAACCAAAAAAAAGTCCAGGACCAGAGGGATTCACAGCCAAATTCTACCAGAGGTACAAGGAGGAGCTGGTACCATTCCTTCTGAAACTATTCCAATCAATAGAAAAAGAGGGAATCCTCCCTAACTCATTTTACGAGGCCAGCATCATCCTGATACCAAAGCCTGGCAGAGACACAACAAAAAAAGAGAATTTTAGACCAACAACCCTGATGAACATCGATGCAAAAATCCTCAATAAAATACTGGCAAACCGACTCCAGCACATCATCAAAAAGTTTATCCAACACAATCAAGTTGGCTTCATCCCTGGGATGCAAGGCTGGTTCAACATACGCAAATCAATAAACATAGTCCATCATATAAACAGAACCAACGACAAAAACCACATGATTATCCCAATAGATGCAGAAAAGCCTTCAACAGAATTCAACAGCCAGCCCTTCATGCTAAAAACTCTCAATAAACTAGGTAATGATGGAATGTATCTCAAAATAATAAGAGCTATTTATGACAAACCCACAGCCAATATCATACTGAATGGGCAAAAACTGGAAGCATTCCCTTTGAAAACTGGCATAAGACAAGAATGCCCTGTCTCACCACTCCTATTCAACATAGTGTTGGAAGTTCTGGCCAGGGCAATCAGGCAAGAGAAACAAAAGGTATTTAATTAGGAAAAAAGGAATCAAATTGTCCCTGTTTGCAGACGACATGATTGTATATTTAGAAAACCCCATTGTCTCAGCCCAAAATCTCCTTAAGCTGATAAGCAACTTCAGTAAAGTCTCATGGTACAAAATCAATGTGCAAAAATCACAAGCATTCCTATACACCAATATCAGACAAACAGAGAACCAAATCATGAGTGAACTCCCATTCACAATTGCTACAAAGAGAATAAATACCTAGCAATACAATTTACAAGGGATGTGAAGAACCCCTTTAAAGAGAACTACAAACCACTGATCAACAAAATAAAAGAGGACAGAAACAAATGGAAGAACATTCCATCCTCATGGAGAGGAAGAATCAATATCGTGAAAATGCCCATAGTGCCCAAAGTAATTTATAGATTCAATGTCATCCCCATCAAGTTACCAATGACTTTCTTCACAAAACTGGAAAAAACTACTTTAAAGTTCATATGGAACCAAAAAGAGCCCATATTGCCAAGACAATCCTAAGCAAAAAGAACAAAGCTGGAGGCATCACGCTACCTGACTTCAAACTATACTACAAGGCTACAGTAACCAAAACAGCACGGTACTGGTACCAAAACAGAGATATAGACCAATGGAACAAAACAGAGTCCTTAGAAATAACACCACACATCCACAACCATCTGATCTTTGACAAACCTGACAAAAAGAAGAAATGAGGAAAGGATTCCCTGTTTAATAAATGGTGCTGGGAAAACTGGCTAGCTGTATGTAGAAAGCTGAAATTGAACCCCTTCCTTACACTTTATATAAAAATTAATTCAAGATGAATTAAGGACTTAAATGTGAGACCTAAAACCATAAAAACCCTAGAAAAAAACCTAGGCAATCCCATTCAGCACATAGGCATGGGCAAGGACTTCATGACTAAAACACCACAAACAATGGCAACAAAATAGACAAATGGGATCTAATTAAACTAAAGAGCTTCTGCACAGCAAAAGAAACTACCATCAGAGTGAACAGGCAACCTACAGAATGGGAGAAAATTTTTGCAATCTACTCATCTGACAAAGGACTAATATCCAGAATCTACAAAGAACTTAAACAAATTTACAAGAAAAAAACAAAAACCCCATCAAAAAGCGGGTGAAGGATATGAACAGACACTTCTCAAATGAAGATATTTATGCAGCCAACATATACATGAAAAAATGCTCATCATCACTGGTCATCAAAGAAATGCAAATCCAAACCACAATGAGATACCATCTCACACCAGTTAGAATGGCAATCATTAAAAAGTCAGGAAACAACAGATGCTGGAGAGGATGTGGAGAAATAGGAAAGCTTCTACACTGTTGGTGTGAATGTAAACTAGTTCAACCATTGTGGAAGACAATGTGGCAATTCCTCAAGGATCTAGAACTAGAAATACCATTTGACCCAGCAATCCCATTACTGGGTATATACCCAAAGGATTATAAATCATTCTACGATAAAGAGACATGCACACATATGTTTATTACAGCACTATTCACAATAGCAGAGACTAGGAACCAACCCAAATGTCCATCAATCATAGACTGGATTAAGAAAATGTGGCACATATACATCATGGAATACTATGCAACCATAAAAAGGATGAGTTCATGTCCTTTGCATGGACATGGATGCAGCTGGAAACCATCATTCTGAGCAAACTATCACAATGTCTGCTTTAGGATGGGAGGAAGATGGTTGGTGACAGGTCTTTACTGAGAAAACCAAACACCACATGTTCTCACTCATAGGTGGGAACTGAACAATGAGAACACTTGGACACAGGGCAGGGAACATCACACCCCAGGGCCTGTAGTGGGATGGGGGACAGGGGAGAGATAGCATTAGGAGAAATACCTAATGTAAATGATGAGTTAATGGGTGCAGCAAACCAACATGGCACATGTATACCTATGTAATACACCTGCACGTTGTGCACATGTACCCTAGAACTTAAAGTATAATAAAAAGAAGTTAAAAATTTTTTTTAATGAAATAAAATAAAAATAAAGACCAGGCACCATCAAAGGCAGATAATGATAAGTTGGGTGCATGAAGCCTAATAAGATACCTTGTCAAGGCTTCCTAACCTCTCACTTACCCCAGCAAAAAGAAGAATGCCAAATTTTCCTTACTACAAAGATTACCAAAATAATAATAATTTTAAGTATATTTATTAACATGTAAAAATGCTCATGATTATATAAAGTGAAGAAAAGGCAACACAATCACATTTAATGTACACACTATTGCTAGATGTGTCTCAACTTCATAAACATTAACATGAAAAAATGAATTTCTTAGCGTTTAGGAAATAGGATATCTACAAAGAAACAAGTTAAATGTACACACCAAAAAAATGTAAAATGCCATGTGGTTGTTGAGATTGCAGGTAATTTTTATTTTCTTTTCACTTCCTGTATCTTCTTTGCCTATAATGGTATGTATTGCTCTAATAACAAAATTGTTTAAAAACTCCTTCCTGTACCCGAAGCATTTCTAGCTCCTTAAAAAAGTGATCTGACACTTTTAATCTCAAGCAAGCTGAAACAGAGCTTTTCCAGCCTGCTTTTGCACATGGGAAAGTATAAAGCTCAAAGGAGTTAGGTCACTTACCCAGTGTCACACATTGTGGTGTGTAAGCCCAGCCAAGACAGGCGTCTGGGGGTCCTGAAGGTCCTCTCCATGATAGCACGTAGTTTTGTGCCATTGTCTCAGCCCACGCACCCCCTAAAAGTGAGGCTCAAGATGAGCTAACCCCTTGCTCTTACCTCTGCCAGGCGGGAGTGCTTGTGGACATTCTCGCCTTTTTGCACGCTTGGAGCCAGCTGCTGCAGGACACCCCTGCTGCTTGTCAGTGCTCTTGTCAGCCGAGCAAACTTCCCCCAGCCTGAAGCAAGTGGAAGAGTGAAAAGACAGGGTCAACCACATCCCAAAGGTGCACAGACATTCACATTAGAAGTTATACTGTCAGAAACAGACATCCCCAATGCCCTCCTAAGCTCCCAACAGTCACTCTGCATCCCTGCAAGCAAGACCCACTGCTCAGAAAAGCACCTTGTGTGTCGCAATTTGCTTTTCCCCTGCACTTTCACTTCATCCTAATCATAGTTCGTGAAGCTGGTAGAGCAGGTTTTAGTACCATTTTACAAATAGGGAGACTAAGACACAGAGTGCCCGGACAATGAGAGTCTAGCACATCTCTCCACTATGGCCCAAGCCTTCTTCACCAGATAATACCAGGTAATTGAGATGGTTCTCTGATTTGGTAACTTGGCTCAGGCTGTTCCCAATCCCCAGGCTATCTGATCTTGCAGAAACAACTGGTTCTGAGTTTTAAATGGACAAGCTAGTTCAATAGCCATTCTATGCATTACCTTCTCCAAGGCCAGAGGAGTAAGAAATGATTTCAACCCCTGGGGAGGTGGGGAAAAAGCAGTGGTAGATTTTAGTCTGCTTTAGGATGGAAGAAAGATGGTTGGTGACAGGTCTGTACTGAGAATTGAAGATGTCTGTGTGATCTTGACACCTTTTAAAGGCCCCCAAAGACAACTGTCCATTTCAACACTCAACAACCCATCTATATCAAGGTTATGACCATGCAGTTGCCCCATGAGACCCTTGAAGTCCTGTCAGGATTCTCAAGAATCAGGAATTGGGTTTTAGGAGCTCCAAAAACCCAGATGTGGGGTATATAGCAAATAAACAGAGCATGCAACTATTTTTACATTACAGCTAAAAGCAGGACTAGGTGATTTTATTTTTTTATATCCTTTAGAGTTTAGAAGCATTCAGCACCTTCCAGTAGAAATCTCATCTGCCAAATTTTACCCTGGAGCAACTTTCCAAGATAGAATCCAGAAGACAATGGAGTTAAGCAGAAGAATGTCCATATTTTATTTTTCTATACAACCTTTGAGAATCATAAACTGGATAAATTTTTGTCAATATAGTAAGAATAGCAAATCAGCTCTTTTTTGTCTCATTCCAGAAGTGCCAGGCTTCAATAAAAAGCCAGTAGTGCTTTCATCCACCCTGATGCCACGAAGCAGAAATGTGGAACTGCTGGGATTGGCTTGAAAAGATACGCATAGTGGTTTGACTGTGGGCAGGCAGGGTATCCCACTAATGTTAACAGGAGGGGATAGCATGGACTCTGTAGGGGTCTTTGACATCTCCCCCAGTGTCAATGAATGTGCTATGGGAACTATGAACTAAGATTTTTTAAAAGTCACTTTCAGAGGAAGGCTCTACTTTAGCTTAAAATACAGCTGAAACTGGATTCCAAGAAGCTTTTCGAGAAGAGCAGACAGTTTATTTTTCAGTCAGTTGTGTATGTAAACATCAGCAAGGGCTCTGCACCCACCCTACCACCACCACCAGCATGATCTATATACTGTGAGAACAGTGATGAGAGGGAGCTGGCAGAGCAGGTGCCCCAAACCCCTTGGTTCATCACCTGATATAACATAAAAGAATAAAAAGGAATATCCCTGGACCTCTGGGCATTTCCCTAGACTCAGGATAGCCCCTCACTCTCTGGCCTAGCCCTGATTCTCTTTGCAAGAGTGGGCTCTTAAAAGAGTGGGCTCTCGGCTGGCTGAGCAAGGGCATGGGAAGGTGAGTGGGTGTTGAAAAGGAAATGGATGCACAGTGTGAAATTTGCATCACACTTCTACCCAGGATGGGCAGGAAGGAAGGAAATAAGTTTTCTCCCAAGTTCCCAAACCCATATTTTCTTTCCTGCGCTATAGATAGATATAATGGCAATCATGCCTCGCCAGATGAAAAAATAGATTCATTCACTCATGTGTTAATTCTATAAACATAATTACTAGGTACCAGGCATGGTACTAGATACTAGAGATACTATCATGAATAAGACACAGATTCTGGCCTCAGAGAGCACACACTCTAGCAGGGAAGACTGACAATTATGAAATCATGGCATATTGAACTAAGTTCGATGACAGGGATGAGTACAGAATGCTATGGCCAAGACTGTCAAAAGAAGGCATACACCTAATCCAGGCTGGGGAGACAAAACAAGTTTCCTGAAGGAAATGGCACTAGAGCAAAGTTTTAAACAATGAGTAGGAATTAGGTAGACTTAAGGAAAGAAAGACATCCCACACAGAAGGAACAGCACCTACAAAGGCAGAAAATTATAAAACAGGGTAATATGTCAGTGAAGAACAAGACATTCTGAATGGCTGGATGAAGGGCCATGGCTTATAAGTGGGAGGGGGATGCCAGGCATGTCCTGAGATGATGCTAAAGAGGTTGGTAGGGGCCAAACCAAGAAGAACCTGGACAGTAAAAACCTACAATGTAAGTTAAGAACCTTGAACTTCATCCTGAAACCCACTGAGAGCCACTGAAGGACTTTAAATGTGGTGAGGAGGGAGATACACATGCCAATTTGCATTTTAAATGAACAGAACAACAAAGTGGATAGTGGGCTGGAAAAAAAAAACAGACAGATAGAAGGTATGTCAGGACAACAGACAAGAGACCATGTGGGCCTGGACCAATGCTGCAGCCTGGGCCAGGGGTCAAGGGGAGACTTGAGGGCAGCTACAGAGTCAGGACTCTGAAAAAAATAGCTATAGAGGAAAAGAAAAAGCAACCTAGGAGGCTCCTGAGTTTCTGGTTTGGGTGACAACTGGGGTGACAGCTATTCAAGGAGATTAAAAACATATGAAGAGCAAACCAATTTGGTGGAAGATAATACATAAAATTTGGACCAACACTGTCCCTTACAGCAGACCCATCAGAAGAATCATTTCTGGAGAAAGTGAAACTCCTATTGTCCAAAAGGCCAAATGGGAGGGGACAACCCAAACCGAACTTAGCTCAAAATGGTCTTGCTCAGGGGAGGTCAGACAGTCATTTTCCACGTGATTCACTGTCGTCCTTCAAGGAAGGATACTGGTCTACCCCTAGCAGGCTTACCTGCTCCCTGTATTGAACCCCAACTTGCTTTAGGCAGGCATATATTAGATCATTGACTGTGCTTTACTGTTTTATTTGCTTACCTGCCTATGCCTTCTCCCAAATAGACTCAGAAGCTCTATCGCAGGCATTTCCTTGTGTCCAGCACCTAGCATGAGGCCAGGCACCCAACAGGTGAATACAATAGGTGTACTGGACAAATAAAGAACAAATATTTTTTCTCTCATCACCCTACTTCTGTCTGGATTCGCAATAGATATAAGGTCCCAAAGGACAGGCAGCCCATTTCACAAACTCTCTTCAGTTTTAGGGGGTATTTCTGTGCCTCTCTTTTGCCAGGCATTTCTGCACCCACTCCTCCAATTACATCCCACTTGTAAGTTCAACACTGAATAGTGCTCAAATGAAGAAACCCTGGGCCCAGGATTCTTCCAGTTCCATCACAAATGTCACCAGCAAGTTAGGCATAGCAGAGCTGTGGATGCCATGAGAAAATTGAAACCATACATGATCAGGAAAATGAGAGGGGAAGTGGGCAGGAGCAGAAGAGGAAGAGTATAGAAAGAAAAAAGACAAAAGGAGAGGAACACAGTATACAATCTAGCAATCAGCTAAAAGGTATTTACTGGGTCTTTTCTCCATTCTCAGGAATGGAGAAATGGCTTTTACCCTGTCTTGACCCGACAATGGCTGGTGGGTGTCAACTTAGCTGAGCCACCAATGAGCCTGAATCTTTCTTTTTCAGGCCAGAAGAGATGGTGCTGGGATGAGTTAGAATTCCAATTCCTCTGAGAGTAAGTCCAGGGGTACCAAAAAAGACAGAGGACAGCCTTATCCTGAGATACAGGGTCAGAAATTCAGAGGAGCTGATAGCATAATCCAAACATCCAGCAGAGAATAGTCGACACAGGGTACAGCATGGAGAGTCAGCGTGGACCACTGCCTACGCGTCCTCAAGTCTCCTCCCACAATCTTTTCCTTACCAATGTACAAAGCACCAAAAATCTAGAATGGCTTCTTCAAGTAGCAGTCACTAAATCGTCACTTTCCCATCAGCCTAAGGGCAGAGACATAAAATGTTAACATTGAAGGGGGGTGGGGCCTGCGACTTGTGTCTATTACTATTTCTCCCATGTCCAGCATGAAGATACATGGAGAAGGGTGAACAGTTACAACAGTTTGCCAGAGCCTTCATCCTGCAATATTCTAAATCTCTGGCTCTTAGAAACCTACTCCAAAGTTTTGCATTCCTTTTGTTGTCTGCATTTGCCTTAAGTTTAACTCTGAATTTAGAAGTAAACAAGTGATCTTTGAAAATGAATTTGCTCCTTTAATATGACATTAGTTGGTGGGATAATAGAGAAAACAAGAGGACTGACTCATCCTTTGGTGAGCAATGTAAAGAGAGAAAATTCTGAGCTTTACACTCTAATTCTATACTCATTTGCCCAACCCTCCTGACTCAGAAGAGAGAACGTGACAGAAACATATCCCACAGCCTACTCCCAATTATCTACAACAAAAGAAAAAGCAAGAGATAAGGAACAAATGAAATCACTGGAGCATCACAGATTCTCATTTTAGGCAGGAATTCCTACCTACTCTCTCATTCAGCCTTTAAGCACACACACACACACACACACACACACGCCCCAGAACTGTTAGCAAACAGCAAACCTAACTTGACTTTCATTCCCTGCTCCATGCCATCCGTGGGCACTATTTGTCAGAGAGTAAGAGAATTACTGTCAAAAGACAGGGAGCAAAGTGAAGATGAGGAAGTCAGAGGCCTACCTAGCTCATAAAAAGGACGGTGAGAACTGGTACACCAAATGACAGAAGGGGCTCTGAAAGCATTTCCAGGACCCATCCCCTCTGCCTGAGGCTCTGGGTAGAAGAGAAGTTACTTTGTGTCAGATCCTGAAATAGGCTACTGTCAATTATCCCATGTGTTGGACCCTTTGCGGGTGATTTGTGGGAAAATTGGGGGCACAAACTGGCTTCTTGCATCACTATCAGGATGTACCCACCCCAGCCCCAAGTCCCCAAATTAGGTACTACATGATCTGAGAAAACAAAGTAATTTTAAAGACAATTTGAACACAACTGATTTAAAAGGCTAATATGGTGGTGGGAAAACATCCCATGGGGCTATGCCAAAGAGCAATTATCTGGGAATTTTCTGGGGTTTTAGATTATCCACATTTCCATTTCATCTCCAAAGTGAATTCTAAACAAGCCTAAGTCAGCAAGACTCAAGATTCTTAATGGTGACTGAGGTGCTGTACTGAAAACCCAGCTGGTCTCCCGGAAAGAAGCTGCTGAGAGTACATCCAAGAAGAAATGTCAAGCCAGGAGATAATCCAGCCACATGGCAGCATATTTTCTAGGATCTAGACTTGATCCCTGTAGCAAAAATTGCAGTTTATAGACTTAAAATAACAAGGCCTAGAGAATTATCATGTGCTTCCATCATAAACACACTGATATAAAGTTTGACTTGTCCTAAGCAGACCACCAAACCACAGTGGGTCAGGGGCACAATGACATGGCAAGTGGGAAGGTCTGAACATATCTGCCATGGCATTTGAAATTGACAGGCTTATAAAGCCATGTCTTTGAGGAGACATTAAGCGTGGTCTACTAGCAGGATTCCTACATCGAGGGTAACGTGTGTGTGTGTCAAATTTTTATGAATCCAGCCAGAAGTTACTCCTATTTATTTCACTGACAAAAACAATTAATATCTGGTCCCCTCAGCTAAGAAGAAACAGAGTAAATGTGTGTGTATGTCCTCATGAGTGTCTGTAAGTACGTATGTGTATATACCAAAACTCTTATCAACAGAGAAATGCATCATTGAGGCAGGTTAAATGAAGTGGAGCATTTTATTCCTGGAAAATAAACCTAAGTAAGTCTCACTACATCACTCTGATTTATCCCTCTTTAGGTTTCATGAGCATCAAATACAGGCACCTACATGCCAGGTACGGAGCATTCTGTTAGGTATGCTTTTCCTACTAAATAATAACAGCACATCACCTACAAATGTTCCGGTGGTAATAATAAAAAAACATTTTGATTGAACCAAATCACATGTCTTAAATTTTTAAGAGAAAAATTGCAAAAATAAGTGTAAAAATATTCAATTGCCTTCAAAATACTACTTTTGAGTTTATTAGGTTAAAAAAGCAACTGGCCTTTCTATATGGTAACAAGATGATACTTAATCATGAGTGAACCCACTGCCACAAAATAGCTACTGCACTGAGAAATCTTCAAATTAGAAACTAGAAATCGGGCAATCATGTATCTGTAAGCAAAGGGAGACTCAGGTGGCTGAAACACTGGTTGAGAGACTGCATCTGCTGCAGTCTTAAAACCAAAAGGCAAGCTGAAATTGAGTTAGTGAGCTATCAGACAGTTTTTAAAAAAATAGGATGCACTGGTATTCACAGTACTGTGCTCGGAACTCCATAAATGTGAGTGGCTAAATGTGCCAGGATTTTAAATACCCTCAGAGGACACAGCCCTTGAGAGAGCATCCACATAATGCTTTTTATTTCCTCCTATAATGCTCATTTAACAACAAAAATTTTGTCACATCAAAAATAATATGTCTCAGTTTAACTCTCCCCTGGACTCCGCTCTCACCTCTTTGCTACGTCTCAGAAAACCACAAGGAGCAGAGTTCGCCAGCAGAGCTGAAAAATCAACCACAGAGCCAGGTAGCACTGCAACATGAAAAAACTCCTAGCTTCTTGGTTATCTTGAGTGTAAGCTATGAACGAGGGATGTGAAAGAGGTTCTATGTCACCCCCTAATCTAAAACCTCTGGGACTAACTTGCCATCTTTTTTATATCCTGATGAGCTGAACCTCTTCAGGGATACAGTTGTTGCAGAAACCCTGAGCCATCTCCTTTCCTGGGTCCCCCATGTTATGCAAACAATACATGCATATGATATGGCTGATATGAGTGCTAAAATCTGTGATCACACAGCTAATTAAATGACCCATATAGAAATGTTACTCAGGACCTGGCTTCATTAATGTCATGTTCCAAATGAATTAACCAGTCACAGACTTAATCAACCACAGACACAAAGATGTGCTAAAGTCTGCTTTAACAATCTTGAAGTGCTAGAATTCAGTCAAATATAGGAAAGTTTATGTATAAAGCAGATGAATGTAGCCATAGACCACCCTATTTGTATGACTGACATTTGTTATGTGAAAACTTAAAAAGATTCTCATGATACTAGAGTTGCCAAACTATCTTCTTCTGCCTAACTAATATCAGAAAGGGTTAATTATTAAAGGTATGAAATTGATTGAAATGCTTTCCTAAAAAAAGTGTTTTTTCTCCCCTTCTTCTCCCTGGATACATTCCGGAATGACACAGTGCTTTGCTCCATACAAATTAAAGTTAGAATCTTGAGGTTTGTAAAGTGATTGCCTTGACAACCACAAATTCTCTGTAATGAGAGCCACACTAAAGACAAAAAAGGCATAAATGTATCCGTACAAGTGAGAATTACAAACCTTTACATGAATCATCCTCAATTGGCTGTTTGAAAGCTGTTATGTCACTGAAAGTGCAAAGAAATAAAACCACTTTATCCTGTTCGTTTCGAATCGGAGCAATTTTCACAAAGAACCACACAGGTGTCCCTGAAAGGAATATCAAAAGGTTGGTCAGTAATTTGCATTCTCATTTGAGGGGCTATGGAAGCAAAGACTTGGGAATGAATAGGTACAAATATTAATTCATTTTTCAAATGGTCTTATTCCTTCAAGTCCTGGGTTATCATCACACCATAAATTTTTTTTCTTGCTGGAATAAAAACTTTCACAGTGACTATTCAGTAAGGGGTTTCTCCTGTTCAACTAATTTTCTAAGTGCAGATCTCTTAACTTGTAAAACAATTAGGAAATAGGTTGAAAACCCCACCTGATCTTATGGGAGAAACTTAGGTACAAAGACCTAAAGACTTACCTTAGACCACATAGTAGACAGTAAAGAGTAGGGGCCAAGATAGGCCCTGCCAACCATGGCCAGCAGACCATGCCAACTCAAATTTCAAACTTCATCCATTGCTAAAGGATCCCAGGGTCAAAATCCAGTTTAGGAATCCACCAATTTGACTCATATGACCAATCACACATGGGCCAAAAACTATGTTTCTTTTTTTTTTTTTTAGACTCCCAGGCTGGAGTACAACGGTGCAATCTCGGCTCACTGTAACCTCTGCCTCCCGGATTCAAGTGATTCTCCCGCCTCAGCCTCCCGAGGCAGCTGGGATTACAGGCACCCACTACCACGCCCAGGTAATTTTTGTATTTTTAGTAGAGGCAGCCAGGGTGGTCTTGAACTCTCAACCTCCAGTGATCCGCCCACCTTGGCCTCCCACAGTGGTGGGATTACAGGCATGAGCCACTGCATCCAGCCCAGAAACTATATTTCTACATCCCTCTCCTTAAAATAAAAATCTAAGAGATCCAATGCAATGGTAAATGACAAGCCATTGAAGAAGGAAAGGAACACCACAATGATTCCCCCGTACAAAGCTCTCCAGAAAAGAAGGATTCCAAGCAGGTTTGGGCTTCGATCACATTAGTGCCATAGGAAGCTCAATGAATGTGTTTCAATATCAATCCTTGTTCCTGAGGTACAGTGGAGGATAAATGAATTCTTCCTAAGCTCTGTCTTCATTCACAGAAAGAGGCAGGCAGGGCTATTCTGACTGGCTTCTTGGAGAGGGTACCCACTCAGGTATCAACAGTCAAATATCTGCATAGTCACTCGCTGGCTTCCCAAAAATAATTAAGGAAAATAAATAAACATTTTCTAGCCATAGAAGACATCACAGCAAGAAGCACCAATTTATTCTATGATACAAAATTAAATGAGACACAAAGCAATCCTATGTTCTTTTCTTCCTAGTTCTTATATTCCGGTTCCTACAATAGCATCTAGAAGAACTGAATAACTATTTGTTGAATTTTGCATAACTGGCATAATACTTAGCATACTATTTTATAACCATTTGCAAATCAAAATAAAGTAGCTATTTCCCCATGCTAAGTAATAGTTTCCTATGTAGCCAGCACTGTGCTCAGCATTTTACATACGTTATTTTGTGAGATAGAGAGCAGACAACTCACTGAGTCTTGGAGATGAAAATAGATCCTCAAGAGGTCACCTGGCTTTCTCTGTCCACAATCACATCAAACTCTGTACTGTACACCAGGGACAGACAGACATCTCTGATTAACATTAGGCTTAGTTAGCCAATCTAGCCTGACGACAAATACTTTAGAGATTTAGCTATACCACCTATTCACATGTCAGTAGTAATAACCCTGAAATGCACAAACAGGCAGCAAGTAGATCCAATGGAAATGTGTTCTCCTTAAATCTTGATTATCTATGTATTCTGCTATAGTTAATTTTAACCTTCTTTCCATTCTCTTTGTGTAATTTTCAGCTGCCAGTTTCTAGGTGTTCTGCAAATACCAACAGATTATAATGTCACCTTAAGAAGTGTTTTGAAAGAAAATTCTACCATATGAAAATCACAAATAGCATTTCAAAGTTAAGAATATGACCTTTGAATTGTTCACTGTTTTTGGAAGTATGTATTACTATTCCTCCCAGCTTTTTCTCAGAATCTGTAGGATTTTAAACCATTTTCAATTAAGCAACAGAAAACTCAAAGTGTCACAGCAATTACATTTATATCCTCACAGCTCTGAATTGTACCCTCTCTGTTAAGGCAAAAACACAAATCAAAAAAAAATTTTTTGCTCTAAAAAAAAATTTAAGCATTTTTTCAGATGATAAACCAGAAAATACCACTAATTACTCCCCACTTAATAGGTGAATTTGTTTAAACTATGTCTCTCTGTTGCCCAGGCTGGAGCACATTGTGTGTGGGTTCCTGTCATCTGATTTATTACTAATTTGACAAATGTATTACTAATTTGACCAATGAGTAATAAATCAGGTGACAGGAACCCACTCATGATGCCTACTCCTAGAATCTCCAGAACCCTCTCCTCCCAGCTACAGCCCTGTAGCCCATCACCGCACTGCACTGGCTGGGCCTGATGCCTGGGAACTTGCTCATTCTTTATGTTTCATTTATGACTACAGGCGTGGATGACACTAAGCCACATTTCCAAGATCATGAAAACCATTGTATTAGTTGTATTGGGAGGTCTTTTTCATTTGTCCACAGTTCAAGCTTATCATGAATGAACTCTCCCCACTTAACAGGTCCATTTGTTTAAAGTGTGTCTCCGTCACCCAGGCCGTAGTACAGCTGCACGATCTCGGCTCACTGCAACCTCCACATCCTGGATTCAAGAGATTCCCCTGCCTCAGCCTCCTGGGTAGCTGGGACTACAGGTGCATGCCACCACACCTGGCTAATTTTTGTATTTTTAGTAGAGATGGGGTTTCACATGTTGGCCAGGCTGGTCTCGAACTCCTGACCTCAGGTGATTCTCCTGCCTCAGCCTCCCAAAGTGCTGGGATTACAGGCGTGAGCCACTGCACCTGGCCATGTTCCCTAATTAAACACATACTACTCTGACCATTCCTTTTCAGTATCTAAATATATATCTTATAACAAAAATTCATACAATCAGGACATATTGCCTTAGCGTTCATCTTGAGCTAAATATAGGGACTTTTTAAGGGAAAGGACCTCCTTTTTCCTGATCTGGTGTTTCTCTGTGGAAGAACATCTTGCAGTGTAACACTCTGGGCCTTTTTCCTGGGTTGGCTGGTAATCTGGGAGACAAGAGCTGGATATGTGTAGCTTGGCCCCTTCTCTGCTTTGCTCCCCTACCCTATAAAGGGGGAAAGGCAAAAGGCAGGAAGGATGGCTGGTAAGAGGAAAAGCCTGCAGTTCTCCAGTACTACCTGTGACTTGCAGGTAACTCTGTCTGATTCTAGGTTTCACTTTTAGAAACTCACTTGCCCACAGGTATAAACTACATTCCCCAGGATCAGCTTCATTAGTCACAAAAGTGATATCTTATCCTCTATTGCAGGAGTCCCCAACCTTTTTGGCACCAGGGACCAGTTTCATGGAATACAATTTTTCCATGGACCAGGGTGGGAGGATAATTTCAAGATTAAACTGTTCCACCTCAGATCATCAGGCATTAGATTCTCATAAGGAGCAGACAACCTCACATACACAGTTCACAATAGGGTTTGCGCTTCTATGATAATCTAATGCCACCACTGATCTAATAGGAGGTGGAGCTCAGGTGGTAATGCTCAGTCAGCTGCCACTCACCTCCTGCTATATGGCCCAGTTCCTAACAGGCCACGGACTGGTAGCAGTCTGTAGCCTGGGAACTGGGGACCCCTGCTATATTGGCCTGATTCCTTTATCTCTCAGTTGGTTCCGATCATGGACAGGGAAGGTAAGTGTTATGTACTGGCCCCCTCAAAGCTTAACAGCTAAGGACTGTTTGTTTAAATGGATCATAATACACTCCAAGGGCGAGAGACCTGATCTACTTCCTCTGTCTTACCACCGGCACCCCTACTTCCTGGCATTCAATGCAGTATTATGTACAGGGTCATGTGAAGCCATTGCATCACTCCACTCCAGGGAGTGCCGTCATGGAGTTGCACAACAGCCTTGGTGGGGTAGATGCTCTAGGAATGATAAATTTAAAAAAATAAATCCTACACCCAGTGTTTTCAGTCCCAAATTATCACTACCCAAACAGTCTAGGAAAGTGAGTAGAATGGGCTTAAATTTTCACTTCTGGAATTCTTTCAGAAGAGAACATAAGTCCCTCCTAGGTGGTACAGACTACTATTTCAACCTTTTCCACTTAACAGCAAAGGATTTTTATTTAATGAAATATAACTTAAAGATTTAATATGTGAAACAGTTGCTTCAAGTGAATGTGAACCATCTGGAACCTGGACCCCACTCAAGCCAGTTTCCCTTCTACCCTCCAAGGATATTCAGGAATCCTTTGGCTCCATTCAGACATTGACTTTCCTGCAGACAGAACTTGGAGCAAGTAGCCTACAGGGGTCTCTCCTAGAACCCAAATTCTGTAGCAGAATCCATTCCATCAAGATGCTAGAGAGGCAATAAATGCAAATATTCACATACATACATAAAAAATCAGGAAGAAGTTAAATTTCTGCCTCCTTACCCAAGTGCTACTATGGAAAAACTGAGAAAAGTAAGCATTTGATGTCCTACTGCAAAAAGGACAAAGTGTCAATGTTAAATCCTTTATTAAAGAAAGATCTATGTACAAACCCAGGAACAACCTAGCACCTGACAACCCTACTGATGGCAGAGGCTGCTGCTGCTGCTGGGAAGGAGGCTCTTTCCAAGATGAGGATGTCCAATGGGAGGGCAGTTCCAGGTCAGCCTTTTTAGATCACTCTGATTTTCATCCCTTATGTAGCTCCCTTAGGTCATGTAGTAATGAACCTCACAACCTAACCTGGCTTTGAGGTTCCTCAGCCTTGGCAGTCAGATAACAAAATAGGTAGGCTCAGATATATGAGAGAATTGTTGGCCTGCATCAATCTTCTTTCTACCCTGGGCTTCCTCCCAAGTACTCTCTGTAATCAGGCATCTGGGCATCCAGACCATATTCAACAGCAATGGAACAGACCA